CGAGCCCTGCGTCGGGCTCTCTGCTCAGCGGGGAGCCTGCTTCCTCCTCTCTCTCTGCCTGCCTCTCTGCCTGCTTGTGATCTCTCTGTCAAGTAAATAAATAAAATCTTTAAAAAAAAAATGTCAGTAGTGCAAGGTGAAGAAACTTGCTTTTAAGTTAGTGGCTTTTGCATGCCTTGAAGAAATCGTTCCGAGCCCCAAGGTAAAAAGGTACTCACTTGTCACATCGTCTAGAAGTTTTGTTTATTTATTTTTTAAAGATTTTATTTATTTATTTGACAGACAGAGATCACAAGTAGGCAGAGAGGCAGGCAGAGAGAGAAAGGAGGAAGCAGGCTTCCCGCTGAGCAGAGAGCCTGATGCGGGGATCGATCCCAGGACCCTGAGATCATGACCTGAGCCAAAGGCAGAGGCTTTAACCCATTGAGCCACCCACGTGCCCCCTAATCACCAGAGATTTAATAAATCAAGATTTCTGGGAATATTTTAGTTTGGGTTTTTGCCAGAACAGACCCTGATACAAAGATTTGAGTGCAAGTAGTTTACTTGTGATGTGACTCCTGGAAGCATCAAGAGAGGAGTGGAGAGGAGAAGTAGAGTAGGGAGGGAAAGAGGGGAAGAAAATACAGGGTATGTTTCTGAGCAGGTGACTGCTGTGGACACCTTAAGCTTCATCTCACCTGGGACTTTTGGGAGACGTTGTAAGACAGGTCTCAGAGTTGTCTCACCAGCAGAGTGATGACTTGGGGTTCATTACCCATCCATTTCCATCCCTTATGGGTTGAGGCCACTTGAGGGGCCACTTCTCATCTTCTGTGTGCACTGGCTGACCATGTTCCTACACCAGAGAAAGCTTGTAGGGAAGAAGTTGTGGATGACCAGCGTAAGAAGCCTTCTGTGGAAGTGCCCGTCCCTGAGCATTGATGGAGTAGGGACACTGTCAGGTCAGGTCCCCTCCTGCTCCACATTGAGTTCATTTCACCTTGTCATTGATTCTTCAAGGTAGCAGTCATTTCCATTTATATAAAAAGTACACATAAATATTTTTGGGTGTCTACCTATCTATCTGTAAGAGATATAATTTTTTTAAAAAGATTGTATTTATTTATTAGAGAGAGAGAGAAAGAGAGTGGGCAGGAGGGGCAGAGGAAGAGGGAGACAGAGAATCCCAAGCAGACTCTGCACTGAGTGTGGAGAAAGATGCGGGGCTCAACCCCATGACTCCTAGATCACGACCTGAGTGGAAACAAAGAGTCCGCTGCTAAACTGACTGTATCACCCAGGCACCCCATATAAAAGATATTGTTTTAAAGAATTGGCTCATACCACCGTAGGAGCTGACAAGTTTGAAATCTGTAGGTCATGCCAACAGGCTGGAAGTTCAGGTAAGAGTTGAAGTTGCAGTCTTGAATCTGAATTCCTCAGGGCAGCCATCTAGAAACAGACAGGTTTTCTCTGTCATAGTCTTGAGAATTCCTTTGTAGGGAACCTGTCTTTGCTGTCAAGGCCTTCACCTGATGGGACGAAGCCCCCTGCATTACGGAGGCTTACTTAAAGTCTACTGATTTAAAAGATTTTTTAAAAAAGCTTTTATTTATTTAGTTGAGAGAGAGAGAGAGAGTGCACGAACAGGGGGAGGAACAGAGGACAAATAGACTCTGTGCTGAGCAGGGAGCCCAAGGCAGGGCTTGATCCCATGACCTGAGTGGAAACCAGGAGTCCGACGCTTAACCCACTAAACCACCCAGGTGCCTCGCAAAGTCTACTGACTTAAATGTTCGTCTCTTTGTAAGGATAGGCTACAGTCGTCCAGTGGCAGCTGGTCCTAGGGCCACCATGAGTAGTTGTCTCTCTCCCCTGGCATCTATCCCCCATTCCCTTCCTGGTCTACTCCTTGGCAAACTCTTCCGTTGGTTTAAATTGTTTACCCACTAGGGTAACCCAGACTTTTATCTCTGCGGTTCCTGGTTTTTTCTTTTTTGGCGGGGGGTAGGGTTGCTACAGCTACATGTTTTAGTTGTTACTGGACAGAAGCCCCAAGGTGTGCCTCACACTTCTCCCTGCCCTTATTATGTGGCAACGCCTCTATCTTGGTATAATAATAAGGGTGAGTTATCCATGCCAGTGGGGTAAGTTCATTGTTGCCTAGGGATCTGCTCCCAATAAGAGAGACTTGACATGACAGCTGGCAGCCATAACTTTAGATTTTGTGGAACTTTTAAGATATCCTCAGTTCTGGTGGAAGCAAATCTCCCAGGCTATGCCTGGGAACCAGGACTTTTTTTTTTTTTTAAGATTTCATTTATTTATTTGACACACACACACACACACAGAGATCACAATTAGGCAGAGCAGCAGGTGGGTGGGGGGGAGGGAAGCAGGCTCCCCGCTGAGCAGAGAGCCCGATTTTGGGCTCCATCCCAGGACCCTGGGATCATGACCTGAGTCGAAGGCAGAGGCTTAACCCACTGAGCCACCCAGGCACCCTGGAACTAGGGCTTTTAATTCAGTCGGTGTGATCACAGTCACTTGATGTCCCAAGATCAGATACTCAGTGTCTGTTAGGGTCCTTCCATGGACCCATGGTCCCACAGCTCCCATCCTGCTGCTACAGCTCGAGCTAGTGGAGGCAGAGCTTCAGCCCTCCTTCTGTGTTTCTGTAACCACTCCTTACCCAGCCCTCTTCATGCCAAAGGGACAGTGGTGGCTTCATACTGTTGCCAGTTCTGGGGTACATGACCACTACCTATTGGTTTCCTGTTTCCTTTGCACATAGATCCTCCATTGGACTTTTCCTAAATTTTCCTAAAATACTTAAATTCCTGTTCTCTTTGCACATAGATCCTCCATTGGACTTTTTCTAAATTATGCCCTCTGTCCCTGCTGGGACCTGACAGACAGACCCTTTGAGATAAAGGCCCAAAGAACACATTGATATGACTATTTCACGGCCCAGAGGTGGGGCTGATGTTGGAAAACTTGCAGTTGGTCATGCTGCATTTTCAGAGCCTGCAAGCCCAATGCAGATAAGGTCATGTGTGAGATGAAAATCAGAGAAGATTGTCATTAGGAAAACCATCACAAAAATTAGCAAAGATCTCAGTTTCCTGGCTACCCCCGCCCAATAATGCAATCTTTTCCTAAATGATGAGGACATGAACTTGAAGTAGTGCACCCAACTCCTCTTCTGGGGAGCCATGGTGTTTCATAGCCCTACAGCAAAGTGACAGAAACAAAACCACAAAATTTCAAATACTTCAAATATCCAGGTAAGTTGAAAGTACTCTTAACTTTGAGTAAGGACAGAAACGTTTCATCATTTAATCAAAAACATAGACTCAGTAGGGCCCCCTGGGTGGCTCATCCAGTTAAACATGTGACTCTTGGTTTGGGCTCAGGTCATGATATCAGGGTCCTGAGATCGAGTCCTACACTGGGTCCACACTCAGCAGAGAGTCTGCTTGAGGTTCTCTCTCTCCCTCTCCCTCTGCCTCTCCCCTGCTCATTTTCTCTCTCTCTCTAATAAATAAATCTTAAATAAACAGACAAACAAACAAAACATAGACTCAGTAAATAATGGCCCCAGTCACAAATTGCATAATCTGGGCAGAGATCTGTTAGCTTCTAAATCTCTTATGGTCTGGTGGAGGGATGTTTGTTCAGTCAAGGGATAGTTTACAGTGAGAGGAGAAGTCCCAGGTCTTCCCAGGAACAACAATCCTGTATTGCACTCACATTTTGAATTTTCGAATGTTTTTGAACACAAATTTTTAATGAATTTGAAATATTCATTCATAGGAATTTACCATCTAAACTTTGTTCTGTGGTCAGGATTCCAGTTTTTTAAAAAAGATTTTATTTATTCATTTGACAGACAGAGATCACATGTAGGCAGAGAGGCAGGCAGAGAGAGAGGGGGAAGCAGGCTCCCGCTGAGCAGAGGGCCAGATTCGGGGCTCGATCCTAGGACACTGGGATCATGACCTGAGCTGAAGGCAGAGGCTCAACCCACTGAGCCACCCAGGTGCCCCTCCAATTTTTCAATTATTAACGATGTGGAGATTAAAATCTTTATCCATGAATCTTTGTGTAAGACATTATCTCTGATAATGTCTTGAAGACAATTGCTAGAAGGAGTTGCAGGGACTTGCTATACCCTCAGAAGCTAGGAGAGCTATCAGCCTGAGGCTCCCCTTGTACTCTTCCCCATCCTCCTGCCCTGGCTTCTGTCCCCCAGCCAGTCCCTCAATGGGCAAGACCTTGTGTTGGGTAGACACTAGGATTTTGACTTCCTACCGGTTTGGGTGCAGCCCTTGTGGCTGGGTGTTGCCCACGCAGAACTTGAGAAGCTATCCCTCCTCTTATCTGTTCTAGCTCTCTGTTTTGCAGCACGGAGTGACAGACAATCTTCTTTCCATCTCACACTGAAGCTCCACAGATGGTAGATCTTATTGAGGTGGACTATAGGAGAGCCTTATGTGACACCAACTGCCTTCCCTAGATCACATATTTAAGCCAGCGGTTCTCACTGAGGATGATTCCCACTCCCCTGCCCCCTTGGGGACCACTGGGCAATGCCCTGAGAAACTTCTGGTTGGCTAACTTAGTGGGGAGGGGTGCTACTCTTGGTAACTAGTGGGGAGAGGTCAGGGATGCTCTAAACATCTGACATTTTTGCTTGTGATTCACACTGTTCTTAGTGATTCCGAATACCTAGAGGTAAATCCAAGTTGGTGTAGAGGAGATGATTACAGCAAGGATCTGGTGCAACATCTTGTTTAAGTCGGAAATACCGATCCTGCCTCTCCAGGGATTCTCTCTCTCTTCTTTCTTTCCCTAATTTTTCTTCATTATTTCTTCCCCGTCTCTCTCACACTTATGCCTCCCTCCCACACCCCATTCCTTCCAAAGCTTGTAGGCTGCCCATGCTGGGGGCTGGTTGCTCTGTGTCGGGAGAAGGAGCGCCAGAGAGAGGAGACATACTTACGTCATGAAGCTGGGTCTTTATTGAGGTTTACTGAGGACTCTGTGACCTGGAGGAGCCCTTTTGGGTCTGAGGGATGTGGTGGGGTCTCAGCAGAGACCAGAGGCAGCTCTGGAGTAAGTGGTACAGAGAGCCTGCTCAGGTCTGGTTCCAGATTTCCCCTTGGGCTGGCTCTGGCTCCCTCCAGGCTTAATTCTGCTTCAGGACCTCATTGATCCAGGGCCGGTAGTAGGAGATTCGGGTGAAGACAGCAGGGGGCTTTGCATCCAACTGTCCATAGGAGACAATGCCCTGGGCCACCCCAGCACAGAGAAGAGGGCCCCCTGAATCTCCCTGTGGGACAGAGGGACAGAGGGGTGGGGGAGAGAGAGCACACAGAAGGTGAGCAGGGAATTCATCCATTCCTGCCTGTGGGTCCCAGTCCTGAGTAACAGTGAGACCTCGGGTCAGACCCAGCAACCCTGGCTTCTCATGGGATTATACATCTTAGTTTGATGGCCCTTTTCCTTTTCCTTCTTGCCACCCCATGTGTGCTGTGCAGCAGCCTGGGACGGATGGTCAGAGCCTGCATGGCGGGGTCGGGGGTAGATCTGCAGAGGAGCAATTCCAGTTCCTTAGGCCCATATGATCTAAGAACCTGTCACTGGCTGACAGTCTTCCCACCCCATCTCCTTCCAGGAGACGTTCTGGACCCCAAACAGTGATCTGTGGGAAAGAAACCATGTCAGATGGTTACCTTAAATGCAGTTTTTGTCTTCCTGGGATTGCCAACACAGAGCTGGAGGTTGTGGTCAAAATCTCTGTACTGTCTGCAGGCCTGGGGATCCATAAGCCTCTGCTTCACCTCCTGCAGAGTGTCGGAGCCTGTTCCGTTCACTTGTCTTCTGCCCCAGCCAGCCACCCGGCACATTCTCCCAGGTAGGATGGAGTTGAAATGGGGCGTAAGGGGGAGCGTCCCCACGGCCAGGGTCAGGTTGGCTTTCTCCTTCAACTGTGAAGGGCATGAGGGGTTGTCAGTGCTAGAAAGGGGTGACGGGGTAGTTGGAGGAAATCGGGAGGACAGGGCAAATTGTTTCCCATTAGAACTACACCCAGTGGGGGTGACTTGGTGGGGTTGGAGTCCAGAGGCAGGCTGGGGATATCTCAGGGCAATGGGTACCTGAGGGAGAAAACTAAGAGAACAGGAAGTGGAGACGGGGGAGAAAGAAATTATCACCTTCAGTAGCATGATGTCATGGCGAATAGTAAGGTCATCGTATTTTGGGTGAGGGAATTGTTTTATGACCTTAAGCTTCTGCCATGTGTCTTCTTTCTTTTGTATGTTATGGGCTCCGAGGATGACCATTATGGAACTGTGAGGGAGAAGAAAGGACAAGAAGAGACAGTGATGGTCTCCAGTTTCTCCTGGGATGTGCCCACTCTGAGGAAAGGGAATTGGAGTCTATCACAGTTATTGGACTCTACCCACCACCCCCTTTTCCTGGGCCACTTGTGGCATTTGGGGGCTCAGATTTCACTCAGGGAACAGGGACAATTTCCAGGACCTTCAGGAATTGCTGGGGACTGAGCTGGCCATGGAGGATCCAAGGGACAGGGTTAGCACTTGCTAGTTCAGGGAGCCCTTTATGAGAGCCAGTCCTCTGGAGCAAGAGATGCCAGAGGAAAGAGGGAGGTGGTGGAGTCCCTGGTAGGTCTTGTTCTCGGCCTCCCTTGGAAAAGATGGGTCAAGTCCCTGACACCTAAAGGCCAGTGTTCTTGGAAAGGGCAGGGAGAAAGTGGCCTGGAAAACTGGGTGGGCCCCTGAAGGTCACATATCTCATTTGTTGGGGTCAGGGAGATGGGAACTACTTTTGGAGGAAGGACACTTGGCTAGAGCCTCCTTTTTCCTTTGTAGGGTTGCTGAGCTCACAGTGATCAAAGATCAGGGCATCCATCAATCATGGGAAGAGTTTCCTTAAATTCGAGCCTTGCCTCTCCCAGTCCAGGGACCCCCTCCTCAGGCTGTCCAAGTGTGCATCCCTGGCTGTTACCCTGGCTGTTTATCTCCCTCTGGAGATAAACAGAACCCTGTTGTGTCACCTTCCTGCACAGTGAGCGGCTGTCAGCACGAAGTTCCGTCTTATCAGGAAACCACCACAGGACATCAGGCGATTCCGGGGAGTGGTGATTTTCAGGAAGGCCATGTAAGGGCGGGAGTGTGGCTTGCACTCTGTGCCCCCGATGATCTCCCCTGGAACAGAGAGCCCCCAGGGCCTGAACACAGAGAATGCATAGGCTGGGTGGAAGTTGGGAAAAGCTTCTCTTGAATCTCCTCCTCACCCTGTACCCTGCCCGTCGTCCCCCTGAGGAACCCCACTGGTATCTGGTCTCCCCATCCACAGCCTCCCATATAAATTCTCATTCCTTCTTGCAGGTATAACAGCCAATCTGGCCGCAGATGCCATTCAGGCATTTTTCACCTCAGATTTCCCCCGCTCCCATGCTGCCTGTGCCTTAGCTCCTCCGTCCCTGTGCAGGGCAGCTCTCCAGGTTCCTTGACCTTCTCTCCGTAGGTCATGAGCAACATCACAGAATGGCCACATTACAAGGTAAAATGTAGTCAGAGGATAAAGAGAACATAGGACCTTCTGTACAGTATCTCACATTCTAGCACAAGGAGATGCCCCTCTTCCTCCCACCTGTTGTGGGCTTTCCCTGGCCAGTGGGGTTCCTTGTCCCTGGGAACTACTCCAGGCTGGGTATCCGCGGAGTTTGGGTGGGCATACCCCAAGTGGAACTTCGGTCCAGACTCCTGCTGCGAGATCCTGCAACCTTGTTTAAGAGTCAGCTATCTTCAGACTAAACTTTGTTTTGGGGGCTGATCCTGCCGGTTCCAGAGGGAAGAACCCCAAGACTTACCGGCTTCAGCTCTGTAGCATAGAAGGAGCAGCAGGGGGAGGGGAAGAAAATGCATCTTTTCAGAGAGGGTGCCCCACGCAGATGCTGCTTCTCTTTTCTGGTCTTGGGTTTTATAACTCCAGCAGTGAGCAAAGGGCTGGGCTGGTAACCACAGGAACTGCGGCATCATGGTTTCTTCTCCCATCCTAAGATCAGAAGTTCCCTCCAAGTTACCCTCTGTTTTGCTGGAGGTGAAGTGGGGGCACGTGACAGAGAGTGGTTTTAACCCTTCAGTTGCCATGTAGGTTTTATGGTGGCTGTAAACTTCCGCACCTGTTGATGTCTGTTGTGAGAACTGCGGTGGAGAGGGACAGCTGATGGTCTGGGCTTGTGCCATCTTGCATCTGACTGACACAGCAGTGTCATGGAGCAGGCACATGGTACATCCTTTGCAGCATGGGCTGTATTTTCCTGAAGCAAGCTGGAGCTCGCTGGGCTTGCCTCCTTCTGTAGGTGATGTTCTTGAATAACCAAGTTTTCTTTCTTTTTTTTTTTCAAATTTTAAAAAGGATTTTATTTATTTGACAGAGAGAGACACAGCAACAGAGGGAACATAAGCAGGGGGAGTGGGAGAGGGAGAAGCAGGCTTCTCGCTGAGCTGGGAGCCGGATGCGGGACTCCATCCCAGGGCCCTGAGATCATGACCTGAACCGAAGGCAGTCACTTAATGACTGAGCCATCCAGGCACTCTAGTTTTCTTTCTTTTTAAGTAAAAAATTAAAAAAAATTTAAATCCAATTAGCCAACATATAGTACACCATTGATGGGTCCGTAATCAAAGGAGCGAGACTGATACAAAGCGAAGGTCAAGCAAAGCTTTATTTCGCGCCAAGCATCGAGAATCAAATGGACCGGTCAGGCCCCCCTCTTACAGAGAGGGTGACCCCTCCCTGCCTTACCGACTAACTTTTAAAGGGCAAGGGCCATGTGGTTGAGCCTGACCACACACAGAGGTCACACAGAGAACACACAGAGAAAGCTGCATAGTCATGCTAGGTCACATGCAAGTGACCAATTGAATCATAATTTACCATATAGTAGATATTTGAACTAGCCTATCACCTTGGTCAGAATTGGCGCCCAAAACGCAGGGCCCACACTCCTTGGTAGCTAGGGAGAGACAGTATGTGCGCCCCACTGATTGGATGTCTCCACCTGGCCTGACCCACCCTTGTATTTGGGCTTTGTTACCTGGGACTGGTTTCCTGGACTTGCTTTTAAGTAAGTCCCTGGTGGGGGGGCAGGGTCAGTTTAAGTTTTTCTGCAAAAACAACAAAATTACTGTTTAACCGGATGGAATCGCTCTGGCTAAATAGGCCCTTACACCATTAGTTTCAGAGGTAGAGTTCAATAATTCATCAGTTGCGTATAACACCCAGTGCTCATCATATCATGTGTCCTCCTTAATGCCGGTCACCCAGTTACCCTATCCCCCCACTACCTCCTCAACCTTGGTTTTCTTAATTTAACTGCTACTAGTTTACCTTCAGTATTTGCAAAGTAATTTGCAAGGATGTAAGCTGGTTGAGTCTACTATACCCTGACCTCTACTTTCCTGCGACAGGCTGGTGTTTGAGAAGGGAAAGTCTTAGGGAGCCCCTTTTCATGAGTTTGGGCAAGCTCTTTTCCCTGGCTGTTTCTCCTCTGGCCCCTGGGATGCTACCATACCCCCACCGCTCTCAGCATTGGTCAGGCAGGCCAATGTCTTCGGCATCTTGGAATTAACATTGTGGCCCGGGTGGCCTTATCTTTTCCGGGTGGGGTCCGGGAGAGACAGGAGAGGCAACAATTAGTATTTCCGTTCAAGTGGTTGCTCATTTAATCAATGGGTGTTGCCCATGGGAGAGTCAGCGCCTGGAGGCTCAGCCCTGCTCCTCAGTCTCCATGCTGCTTCCTGTGGGTCATGCTGTCAGGGTGTGTTCCTGGATTCGGAGTGACTTGTCTTCTGATAGTCCTAGAGTGGCCTGCTATCCTCTTACTACTTTCAAAGCCCTGGGATCACCATTCTTTGTTGAGGATGTCTCATTTGTCTTGTCTTGTTTTTTGTTTGTTTTTTTTTTCCCTCCATGTCCTGTGCTCTTGGTGGCAAGGAGATTCCTTTTGTTCCTTGAGTGGCAAATGCTGCCTAGCTAAAGGCCAAGGCTGGTGAGGCTGTCGGGTAGGTGTGAGGGGAAGTTACACGAGACTTCAGAGACACCTGGTGTACAGCAGTGGCAGCGAGTGGGATGCCAGCCCTCCAGGTGCCCCCAGAACTTTCACTGCTGCTTCTGCTGAGGGATGTTGGTATTGTGTCCAGGTTTTTGTAATTGTGAATCGAGTTTCTATGAACATCCTCAGCCTCCGGGGGTCCCCTCCCTGGCGCTGGCCGTTGGGGCCGGGCCTGCCTCGAGGCCCGTGCACAAACCCTCGCCTGCTTCCTCAGCCTTCCATTTCCAGGGTTCTGCACTTCGGGGCCTCCAACTGGGGAACCCTGAGTCCCGCACCACGACTCCCCCTCCCACTCTGGTGCAAAGGGTGCATTTTGGTGCTTTGGACAAGCCTCAGAGCGAGACAGGTTTTTGTGTGAACTTCAGTTTTCCTTTCTGTAAGATACACAGCCAGGAATAGGATTCTAGGTCATATAATAAGTATATATTCAGTTTTCTAAGAAACTACCAAAGTATTTCTAAGGTGGCCATACCATTTTGCATTCCCCCAGCAATGGATGAGAGCTTGTGCTGGTCCACATCTGTGCATGCCCTGGGTATTTTCAGTATTTTATTTTATATTCTCTCTCTCTCTCTTTCAAGATTTTTTTATTCACTTGACAGAGAGAGACACAGAGAGAGAGGGAACACAGCAGGGGGAGTGGGAGAGGGAGAAGCAGCCTTCCTGCTGAGGAGGAGCCAAATGCAGGGCTTGATCCCAGGCTCCAGGACCAAGACCCGAGCCGGAGGCAGATACCCAATGACTGAGCTACCCAGGCACCCCAGTATTTTCAAAAAATATTATTTACTGATTGATTAGAGAGAGAGAAGGAGCAGGAGCAGGGAGTGGGGACAAGTCAGGGGAGAGAAAGAAGCAGACTCCTTGCTGAGCAAGGAACCTGTGAAGGGTGGCGGCGGGGGTTGGGGAGAGAAAGTGGGAGGGTAGGGGGACGAGGGGGAGTGGGGGGCTCAATCCCAGGACCCTGGGCTCATAACCAGACTGAAGGCAGACACTTAACCAATGAGCCACCCAGGCATCCTTCAGTATTATTATTTTTTTTACTATGACTTATTTTTTTTATATTAACATATAATGTATTATCCCCAGGGGTACAGGTCTGTGAATCATCAGGCTTACACATTTCACAGCACTCACCATAGCACATACCCTTCCCATTGTCCATAACCCAGCCATTTTATCCCCCATCTCCCCACCCCCCAGCAACCCTCAGTTTGTTTCATGAGATTGAGTCTCTTATGGTTTGTCTCCCTCCTGATCCCATCTTGTTTCACTTTTTTCCCTCCTTACCCACCATGACCCTCACCCTGCTTCCCAAATTCCTCATATCAGAGAGATCATATGATAATTGTCTTTCTCTGATTGAGTTATTTCACTTAGCATGATAACTTCCAGTTACAGCCACATCATTGCAAATGGCAAGATGTCATTTTTTGATGGCTGCCTAGTGTTCCATTGTATATATAAATCTTATCTTCTTTATCCATTCATCTGTTGATGGACATCTAGGTTCTTTCCATAGTTTGGCTATTGTGGACATTGCTGCTATAAACATTGGGGTGCACGTGCCCCTTCTGATCACTACATTTGTATCTATAGGGTAACTACTCAGTAGTGCAATTGCTGGGTCGTAGGGTAGCTCTATTTTCAACTTTTTGAGGAACCTCCATACCTTTTTCCAGAGTGCCTGCGCCAGCTTGCATTCCCACCAACAGTGCAGGAGGATTCTCCTTTCTCCTCATCCTCGCCAACATCTGTCGTTTCCTGACTTGTTAATTTTAGCCATTCTGACTGGTTTGAGGTGGTATCTCATTGTGGTCTTGATTTGTATTTCCCTGATGCTGAGTGATGTGGAGCACTTTTTCATATGTCTGTTGGCCATTTGGATGTCTTCCTTGCAGAAATATCTGTTCATGTCTTCTGCCCATTTCTTGATTGGATTATTCTTTGGGTGTTGAATTTGGTAAGTTCTTTATAGATTTTGGATACTAGCCCTTTATCTGATATGTCATTTGCAAATATATTTTCCGATTCTATTATTTGTCTTTTGGTTTTGTTGACTGTTTCCTTTGCTGTGCAAAAGCTTTTGATCTTGATCAAGTCCCAATAGTTCATTTTTGCCCTTGATTTCCTTGCCTTTGGCAATGTTTCTAGGAAGAAGTTGTTGCAGCAAAGGTCAAAGAAGTTGCTGCCTGTGTTCCCTCAAGGATTTTGATGGATTCCTGTCTCACATTGAGGTCTTTCATCCATTTTGAGTCTACTTTGTGCGTGGTGTAAAGAAATGGTCCAGTTTCATTCTTCTGCATGGAGCTGTCCAATTTTTCCAACACCATTTGTTGAAGAGACTGTCTTTTTTTCCATTGGACATTCTTTCCTACTTTGTCAAAGATTAGTTGACCATAGAGTTGAGGGTCCATTTCTGGACTCTCTATTCTGTTCCATTGATCTATATGTCTGTTTTTGTGCCAGTACTATACTGTCTTGATGATTATAGCTTTGTAATAGAGCTTGAAGTCTGGAATAGTGATAGCGCCAACTTTGTTTTTCTTTTTCAACATTCCTCTGGCTATTTGGGGTCTTTTCTGGTTCCATATAAATTTTAGGATTATTTGTTCCATTTCTTTGAAAACATTGAGGTATTTTGATAGGGATTGCATTAAATGTGTAGATTGCTTTAGGTAGTGTAGACATTTTCACAGTATTTGTTCTTCTAATCCATGAGCATGGGATGTTTTTCCATTTGTTTGTGTCTTCCTCAAGTTTTTTCATGACTACTTTATATATAGTTCTGAGTACAAATTCTTTGCTTCTTTGGTTAGGTTTATTCCTAGGTATCTTATGGTTTTG